GGCCACCGCCCTCCAGTCTGGGCGACAAAGTGAGACTCCAACTCAAAAAAACAAAAAAAAAAAGAAAGAAAAACGAATGTCCTTCATTGTGTGGCCGTGAGACAACTCAACAGGCCTCCTGCCGGGGACATGCCAGGTTATTGGTGGATACGGCGATGCTCATCGATAACTTTGTCCATACTTCCTTTGCAAATAAGCCAGCATATCTGAAAGGTAGACCCTTAGAGGTGAATTGCTGGCCTGTGGAGCGTGTTGGGCAGTGCTTTCCAGGTACACAGATCGAGTTGTGAGACAAATTCCTGTGAGATCAATTTCCTAGAAATTCAGGGAGCACAGGCATCTGTGGTCTCTGAGACTGTAAACGTGGCCTCCCGGGCAGCATGAGCCATGCGGAAGCGCCCTGTGGACTCGCGAGGAGGATTACTCAATTCCTGGCACCTTTCCAACTTGGCTGCTGCCACGTGCTGTCCCCTGTAGCTGTGCTTGACCCGTCTTCCATTATGAGTGAGGTTGAGCGTTTTTGAATGTATTTAAGAGTCATTTGGGTTTTTTTCTGTAAACTGCCTGCTTAGAATCTTTTTCTTGCTTTCTCATAGGATTTGGTGGCCTTTTTATTGATTTTCAAGCACTTTTAACATAAGAGAGGAGCTACACCTATGTGACGTGAGATGCAATTTCCTTATCGCTTGGCCATTTGCCTGTAGCTGACATTGGGTTTTGCCGCACAAAGAATGGGTTTTATTTTTAGATGGGCTAGATTCCCTTGGTCGGTCTCAGTTACCCTGCATACTACACCAAGTCTGTGCTGACTCACTAACGAGTGTGATGGTTTGTTTAAATGCTGCATAGAGGGCCGAGGTGGGAGGATCACTTGAGGCCAGGAGTTCAAGACCAGCCTAGGCACTGGAGAGTGAGACCTCGTCTCCACAAAAACAAAAATAAAAAACTAGCCAGGCGCGGTGGTGCCTGTAGTTCCAGCTGCTCGGGAGGTTAAGACGGGAGCATTGCCTGAGACCCGCAGGTCGAGGCCATGGTCAGCCATGATCATGCTATTGCCCTCCAGCCTGGGCAACACAGTGAGACCCCACCTCTACAAAAAAAATTAGTTGGGCATGGTGGCACACGTCTGCCGTCACAGCTACTCAGGAGATTCAGGCAGGAGAATCGCCTGAGCCCAGGTGGTTGAGGCTGCGTGAACCATGTTTGTGCCACTGTACTCCAGCCTGGGCGACAGAGTGAAACCCTGCCTCAAAGACAAAAAAAGGTGCTGCCACAGCCTGTGGGAGGGGTCAAGGCAGTGGGGACAGCAGGAGGGGTCCCTCTGGAGGCTGTCGCCATCAGTTGGCGGGAGAGTTGGAGACTTGGGTCTGCACAGACAGAGATGACACTGAGGGCCTGCAGGCTGATGGGGACTGAGGGTGGGGCGGAGCCATGTCCTCCATGACTCCCATCTCTGGCTTTGCTGGCCGCTGGCCCCTGAGACGAGGCTGGGTGACCCTCCTGACCACCTTCCACGTGCTCGGCCCCGGGGCTCAGCCTCAGGTCCCAGGAAGAGTCAGCTGAGGCCCTGGCGTGAGTTCCCTGGAGAGAAGGGAACATCAGCTCAGCGGAGGTCTTCTCCTCTCTTCCCTCTTCCTCCTCCGCCCTCTGCAGGCATCACGTGTCCTACCCCCACGTCCGTGGAGCATGCAAACATCTGGGTCAGGAGCTACAACGTGAACTCCAGGGAGCGGTACGTCTGTAACTCTGGCTTCAAGCGGAGAGCCGGCACGTCCAGCCTGACTGAGTGTGTGTGGAACGAGACCACAAAGGCCGCACACTGGACAACTCCCAACCTCAAGTGCATCCGTGAGTAGCTGGCCCTGCATCCTGCCCCCGCCCCGCACCGAGGCCGCCCAGAGGGCAGAGCTGATCTCACGGGCTGGGGACCTGTGTTGAGGTCTGAGGCCAAATGTGCCAGTGGGGCCCTAAACAACACCTCCTGGCTCTGGAAATGCAGGGTATCGGGGTCACACGGTTCTGGGTTCAAATCCTGGCTCGGCCCCGCACAGCACGCACAGGCAACTGGGCAGAGGGAAACTGCTTCGGGCACCCAGGGAGAGGAACAGCCTTGGTGCTCAGTCCAGGTGACAGCGGTCCAGCCCCGGGGACAGGCAGGCCCTGAAGCCATTTCCCTCTGCCCAGTCGCCTGTGTGTGGTGTCCAGGGAACGCAGGATGGAGGGGGCCGGGTGTGGTGGGTCACACCTGTAGTCCCAGCACTTTGGGAGGCTGAGGTGAGAGGATCGCTTGAGCCCAGGAGTTTGAAACCAGACTAGACAGCATAGCAAGACCCTATCTCCACACCAGAAAAAAATCAAAAAATCAGCTGGGCGTGTTGGCGTGCGCCTATAGTCCCAGGTGCTTGGGAGGCTGAGGCGGAAGGATTGCTTGAGCCCAGGAGGTGGAAGTTGCCGTGAGCTATGACCAAACCATTGCATTCCAGCCTAAGTGGCGGAGCAAGACTGTCTCCAAAAATAAATAAATAAAAATAAGTGAGTAAGTCGAAAAAGCACAGATGAGAAAGGATGGCAAGGATGGACTTTTTTTTAACCACCTGCACCTGAGTGACCATCCCAGACAGCTCTGGCTACTTCTGCTCCCCTCTCTGGGCCTCTGGGAGAATCGAGCAACCCACAGTCTCCCAGGAGACTTTCACATTGATACAGAGCCGGCCCGTGGCCCGCTCCCTCTGCCGGGATCCCTCGGAGAGCCGCAGAGTCAGCTCACCCTCCTCCTTGGGCTCCTCCCTGGGCTGCTCTCCAGAATGAGAGTCACACAGCCCCTTCTCCAGGAAAAGGCCAGATGCTTTCTGAGGACTCCCAGTCCCTCCCCAAACCCAGGTGCCTATAATCCCGCAGAATCTTGGACCTGCGTGGCTATTCCTCTGCAGACTTGGGCAAGAGCACACACTTTTGCGTTTACAGTGGCTTGATTTTCTTGTTGAAAGCCAAGTTGCTGGCCAGGCACAGTGGCTCAAGCCTATCATCCCAGCACTTTAGGAGGCCAAGGCGAGAGGATTGCCTGAGCTCAGGAGTTCAAGGCCATCTGGGCAACTTGGCGAGACCTCGTCTCTACAATAAATCAAAAAATTAGCCGGGTGTGGTGGCTCATGCCTTTAGTTCCGGCTCCTTGGAAGACTGAGGCGGAAGGATCGCCGGAGCCCAGCAGGTCGATGCTGCGGTGGCCGTGAGCGTGCGAATGCACTCCGGCCTGGGCGACAGAGTGAGACTCCGACTCAAAAACAAAAACAAAGCAAAGTTGCTCGATTCCACTGGTTTTGCAGGGTGGCTCTCTGGGGACACAACACCTCATGGCATCAGGGAAATGATGGGGAAAGTAGACGGGGCCAGAGTCAGCAGCAGTGGTGGAAGCCAGGTTGGGTGTCCGGCCAGCCTCAGGCTTCACCAGGACCTGTGACCCGGGGTGAGATCAGGGCTTTCCTGGGGAAGTGACAGCTCCTTGGAGCTCCCCGGCTTTAGAGGATCAGTCCAGGGTGGAGAGGAGCTGTAGCTCTGGACAGGGTCAGGGTGCGGGGGAGGAGACCTGAATCAGGACATCAGAGCCCCAAGATGGGGGTCTTCAGGCTACTTCTAGGCAGGGGGTCTCCTCACCTTTTGACCACTGACAACTCCCTTCATTTCTCCCCAACCTCCGTACTTCGAGTGGTTTTTTTGTTGTTGTTGTTAAACAAATGGAATCTGAGTGATCATTTATTTTCTTATGAAAAACCAGCATTATACAATTGAGTGGATGTTAATGGTATCGTTTCAGCCAAAAACAAATTCGCTGTCTAATGTGTGCAGGCCTTCTGCAGCTGCTGAAAAGTCACTTGCAGGCTGTCTTTGCCCCGGGGTTGGGAGACATTGGTGGCTGACTTCCCTGCTTCTGCCCCGGCCTGGAAAGCCGCATCCCCACCGTAAACACATGCAGTTATCTAGGCTGTTCTGAAGCCACCCCGGCGCCCCGCCCAGGACCATAAATGCCATGTGGTTATCCTCTCTCTAGGAGACCCCTCCCTGCCTCACCAAAGGCCGGTGCCACGCTCCACGGCAGCGACCACGGGGGTGACCCCGTGGCCAGAGAGCCCCTCCCCCTCTGGAAAAGGTAGGAATGTCGGGAACTTTTCGAGGATTCCTTCTCCCTCCTGCCACCCAGGTCCCCGTCATCCCACAGATTCACGGGCCTCAGCTCGCGTTCTGCTTCAGACTTGGACAACAGCACAAACGTTTTATCGAAGTCGTGGATGAGACCTCACAGTGGCTCAATTTTCTTTTGCAAATCAAAGCTGCTTGATACCCAGATCTCATATGCGCATAATTAATTGTGGCTTAAAATCCACTATTAATGTGTCAGATCATACTCCGTGGTAGATACTTATCCTCATCAACAACGGGAAACTGGCCGGGTGCAGTGGCTCACGTCCATCATCCCGGCTCCTAGGGAGGCCAGGTGAGAGGACTGCTTGAGCCCAGGAGTTTGAGACCAGCCTGAGCAACTCAGTGAGACCTCGTCTCTACAAAAAAAAATTTTTTTAATTAGCTGAGTGCGCTGGCATCTGTTGTCCCAGCTACTCAGGAGGCTGAGGCGAAGGATCGCCTAGGCCCTGGAGGTCGAGGCTACAGTGAGCCATGATCGAGCCACGGCACTCTAGCCTGGGCAACAGAGTGAGACCCCAGACTCAAAAAAAGGAAGGAAGGAAGAAAGGAAAAAAATAAAGGAAGGAAGAGAGGAAAGAAGGAAAGAAAGCAAATGTGAGATCTTGTATGCTAGCCATCCTGGGATCACATGCCCGGCATCCTGGGATGCTGTTGTTTTGCATCTAAGTCTCAGGTTGTTAGCATCACAGCATCCAGCCTGTGGCCTCTCTGGGCCCCGCCTCCTCCTTCCCCATGTCTGTGGTCATTTGTTCTGCAGGCCTCAGTTACCCTCTGCAGAGCTTTGGTGCCCCGCCTTGCTGTCCACCAACATCCCAGGAAGCTGGGAACAGGAGCTCCCCAAGGTCCCCAGGGTCTAGCGGCCAAGGCTGAGGACGGTTTGGGGAAGGAAGGAGAGCCTGGAGAGAGGGCCCCACCCCTAGTGGGGGCGTGGCCTGCAAACAGGCAGAGGAAGGGCTGAGAGTCTGGCTCTCGCTGGGTTGGGGTAATTTCAGATCTGCGAGACGGTAAGGGTCAAGGAGCCTCTCCCTGTCCTGCCTCTGTGTCCCAAACGCTGGTCAGATGTCCTTTGCTGAGACTAACCTGTGGTCAAAAGTTTAGGGGTAACAGGGTGGCCTCTTTTTTTTTTTCTTTTTTTAGAGAGATACAGGGCCTCACTCTGTTGCCCAGGCTGGCGTGCAGTGGCGCAATCACAGCTCACTGCAACCGCGAACTCCTGGGCTCAAGCAGTCCTCCCCGCTCAGCCTCCCAAATAGCTGGAACTGCAGGTGCATGCCACCATGCCCGGCTAAGTCTTTGTTCGTTTCGTAGAGGCGGGGTCTCGCCCTGTGGCCCAGGTTGGTCTTAAACTCCTGGTCTCAAGCGATCCTCCGTCTCAGCCTCCCAGAGAGTAACCTTTGACACGGGCTGGCATGACTAGGTGAACGTTCTGGCGGGCTCTGTCTGCAGGCGCCCTGGAGTGCTGGCAGCATGGGCAGGGCGGTGCCTGTGAGCTCTTGATAAAGGATGCCGGGGGCGAGGACCTCTCGTGACACGTGTGACCGGGAGATTGTGGGAACTCGGGCCACCACAGTGTGTCCACAGGGCCACGAGGCTCAGCCTCTCAGACCCTGAATCCCTTAAGTGTCACAACAGAAGACCCGTTTTTCCCGGAAGGGAGCAGCACACAGTCACACCATACCTTCCGGTGCGCAGCGGCATGGCGGGAGGGGACAAGGAGGACGGGACTTCAGCCCCAGCAGCCTCCCTTCCTGAGAGCAGAGCTCCGCTGGGACCCTTTCCTTGAACCCACCCCACAGAGCTCAGGGGGCCCCGTCTCAGGTGTCCCCTTATTTCAAAGACAGCGAGCTCGCAGCTGTCACCGGCCAGTGCAACTCCACACGTGGGAATTCTCCAGGGTCTGAGCCACTCCCTCTAGTAAACTCACTGGAGGCTGCTCAGATCCCTGGGACCTTTTCCTTATACGTGACAAATGGCTGCATTCTTCAGGGTCACCCCAAGCCCCGTGGCCGTTTCAGGTGGATGGTGCTGGTCCACGTCACCATCTATTTTTTCTTTTTGAGTCAGAGTCTTACTCTACGGCTCAGGCTGAAGTGCAGTGGCCAGGCTCAGGCGATTCTTCCACCTCAGTTTCCCAAGTAACTGGGACTACAGGTGTGCGCCACCATGCCTGACAGTTGTTATTATTATTATTATTTGTAGAGATGAGGTGTCGCTATGATGCCCAAGCTGGTCTCAACTTCCTGGGCTCAAGCGATTTTCCTGCTGAGACCTCTCAGAGTGCTGGGATTACAGGCATGAGCCCCCGCACTGGCCATGTCACCTTCTTAAGGGAGCAGTTCACTGGCGGGGAGGGCTGGCCCGCGGGGATCTCCA